TTATCTGCTTCGGACGTGAATTGTTTTTACCTGAACTGACATCGATCCGAACTGAAAATGACCCGACCTGAACCCGATCTGGATCTGGTGTCAAATCAACCTGAAAATAACTCGAACTGATTTGACCTAACCTGAACCCGATCTGGATCTGATGTCAAATCAATATGAGTTGTCATGTACCCGATTTTACCCGACCTGCCAAGATTCGATTGAAACCTGTCCAATTACCTAATTTTACAGCCCTAAGCCCAAGTGGTGTTTTGGACCTTCTAGAAGCCACAAAGACTTTGGTGGCTTTTAAATTTGTATAGATAATGCCCACTTGTTTTTGTAGGTAGGATTCAATCTAGACCGTCGATGTAATTAGATCTTAGTCGCTCATTGAAGGGAGCTTTAGCTATAAAATAGAGGCCTCCCCTCCTAATTTGTACTCACTCCTTCACTTTGAGAAATCATAAGAGCAATATTCTCTCAAAGCTTTCTTATCTTCCTTTTTGTGCTAGTTCTTCTGTCTAGCTTCCGTCGAGGTTCTAAGCATCCATGCTTGGGATATTTTCAGGCTTACTTAGCCCCAATCACTAAGAAGAAGACTAAGGCCACACATTCCGAGGCATCGAAGTTCCAAGGGCGTGACAAGTGGTATCAGAGCTAGTTCTACGAGAAATAGCACAACACAACCAAGACGAGATCCCAACAAGCGAAGTAATGGAGACTCGCGCTGCCGTGGCGAAGAACCGAGGAAGCTCGAAGGATATCGTGGCCTCGTTTGACAACAGGTTGGAAGATCGATATAATGAAGTCCAAGAGACTCAAGACTCGGTTGAATCTCGCTTGGAGAAAGTGGAGTCCGTGGAGGATATGCTCCGCGAAGAAACCCAAGCACTCATCAGCGAGTTGACAGAGAATGTAGATGAGCATACCAGAGGCCTTGAAAGCATGTACTTGGCCATGAGGGCCGAAATAATGCGGGAGGTAAAGGAGCTCAAGAGCGAGCTGTTTGTCTACAAGGCTACAGTGTTGAATGGAGTGACTGGGGAGACGCAAGCACTAAGACCCAGGATCGACGTCCCTAAGCCGAAGGAGTACAAGGGGAGTCGAAATACCCAAGATGTGGAGAATTTCATATGGGGCATGGAGCAATTCTTCCGTGGCATGGGTATCTTGGAAGATACCACCAAGGTAAATGTTGCTTCAAATTAGCTAATTGACGTTGTTATGTTATGGTGGCGACGTAGATGTTCCGAGAGAACAAATCCAATCGGGACATGGGAAGAGTTCATGGAAGAACTTAAAGAGCATTTATATCCGAAAAATGTTGTGCTCGAGGCTCGAGCAAAACTAAAACAATTGAAGCACGATCGTTCCATCTTGGAGTATGTCAAAAACTTCACTGAGATAAAGATACAAATCCCGGACTTGGGCGAGTCAGAAGGGTACTTTGCATTCATGGATGAACTACAACGTTGGGCCAACATGGAAATTCAAAGAAAATGAGTGATCGAACTTTCCAAGGCATTGGATGCAGCCGAGGCCATTGCCCCGTTTGAAGTAAAGAAAACCCACTCTCTCCAATCCAAGCTGAAAACCAAAGGTAATAATGGGGAAGAGAAGGCCAAAGGAAGCTTTCACAAGCCAACAGGAAATCATGGGAAGCCGAATGATCGACCCAAAAAGCTCTTCAATCCTTGGGAGAAAAAGGGTGAATTATCATGCTTCAGTTGTGGAGGAAATCATATGAAGAGAGATTGTCCTCAACTTGTGAAAGTTATTGCCATCAAGGAGAATGATGGGGTGGAGAGTGAGACTCTCAAGCTTGGCTCCATCCTTAGCACCATGGAGGTCAAGAAGGGTCGCAAAAAGAATGGATTGAAGTACGTAGACATCACCGTCGCAGGCCAAAAGATGAGCGCACTGGTGGACACAGGTGCCTCAGAGTTGTTCTTGTCTGAACAAGCTGCCAAGAAACTTGATCTTCGTGTAGAGAAGACAAATGGGTTCATCACAACCGTCAATACCAAAGAGGTTCCAAATGTTGGGGAAGCAAAAGGAATCCAACTCAGCCTTGGAGAATGGACCGAGAAAGAGTCCATAAAGGTAATCTCACTCGATGATTTTGATTTTATTATTGGGATTAGTTTCCTCGATCGGATTCATGCGTTCTCCTTGCCATTTGTCGATTGCTTAGTAATCTGTGATCCTAAGCACCAATACATTATTCCGGTAAGTCGAGAATCAGGAATCGATGCCAAGATGTTGTTCGCAATCCAATTCTCAAAGGGGGTGCCCAAGGAGGAACCCACCTTTGTGGCTTCATTGGTGGGAACTGAACCCACAATGACCGAGGAAGTCCCAAGTGAAGTGGGATAAGTATTGGCGGAGTTTAGGGATGTGATGCCAACTGAGCTGCCAAAGCATTTGCCACCAAAGAGAGAGGTGGACCACAAGATCGATCTTGTGCCAAATACAGAGCCACCCGCCAAAGCACTATACCGAATGGCCCCACCGGAGTTAGAGGAGCTTCGCAGATAATTGAAAGAGCTCCTAGATACTGGATATATCCGACCGTCAAAGGCACCCTTTGGTGAACCGGTGCTATTCCAGAAGAAACATGACGGCTCCCTCAGAATGTGCATCGACTATCGAGCTTGAATAAGTTCACCGTGAAGAACAAGTACCCGATCCCGTTGATTGCCGACTTGTTCGATCAACTTGGTCGTGCAAGGTGGTTCACCAAGTTAGATTTATGGTCTGGATACTACCAAGTTCGGATAGCGGAAGGCGATAAACTGAAGACTGCTTGCGTGACACGCTATGGTTCATATGAGTTCCTGGTGATGCCCTTCGGCCTCACCAATGCCCCTGTAACCTTTTGCACGTTAATGAATAAGGTACTACAACCCTTTCTTGATCGTTTTGTTGTAGTTTACCTTGATGACATTGTTATGTATAGTAAGACCTTGGAAGAACACGTTGAATACTTGAGAAGGGTGTTCCAAGTCTTACGAGAGAACAAGCTTTATGTCAAGGAGGAAAAATGCTCGTTTTCGCAAAAGGAAGTGTCGTTCCTAGGCCATATTGTTGGAGGAGGCAAGCTCCAGATGGATAAAGACAAGATCCGGGCGATTGATGAGTGGAATCCACCCACCAAGGTAACTGAATTGCGAGCATTCTTGGGATCAGCCAACTACTACCGACGGTTCATGAAGAGCTATTCCAAGATTGCCATACCTTTGACTGAGCTACTAAAAAAGGACAAGGTGTGGGAATGGAGCACGAAATGCCAGGACGCTTTTGAAAAGCTCAAGGAGGCCATGGTGAATGAGCCCATGTTGGTGTTGCCAGACTACACCAAGCCTTTTATAGTTTTCACTGATGCGTCCGATGTTGCCATTGGTGGAGTCCTCATGCAAGAGGGACATCCGGTTGTATACGAGAGCCAGAAGCTCAATGAGACCGAGAGGAGATACTCGGTTCATGAGAAGGAGATGACAGCAGTTGTACACTGCTTGCGCACATAGCGACATTACATGCTTGGGTCCAAGTTCGTGGTTGTCACGGATAATGTTGCTAACAGTTACTTCCTCACCCAGAAGAAGCTTTTTCCCAAACAGGCTCGTTGGCAAGAGTTTCTTGCCGAGTTCGACTTTTCCATGGAGTACAAGTCAGGGAAGGTGAATTGTGTTGCAGATGGCTTATGTCGGAGGTACACCATCGAGACTATAGAAGGTACCTTGCTCGAAAGAATCAAAGAAGGGTTACCCCATGATCTTGCGGGCGAGCGAATTATTGATAGAACTAAGGAGGGGTGAACCAGAGAGTTTTGGCTTGAGGGGGAACTACTATATTATCGAGGAAATCGACTCTTTGTACCTCGATATGGGAAGTTACGCAAGGAGCTCATGAAGGAATGCCATGATTCCAAGTAGGCGGGACATCCGGGAGTTGATCGGACTTTGGTATTACTCTCGGAGCAATACTATTGGTCGCACATGGCTGAAGATGTGCAGGCCTATGTGAAGACTTGTCTTGTGTGCCAGCAAGACAAAATCGAGGCAAAGAAACCGACAGGACTGCTACAACCTTTGCCCATTCCTAAACGCCCATGAGAGAGTATATCTATGGATTTTATCATTGGTTTGCCCAAAACCGATGGGCTTTCAAGTATAATGGTTGTGGTTGATAGGTTTTCAAAGTATGCGACGTTCATACCGGCATCTAAAGTATGTCCAGCCGTGGAGGCGGCTCGACTTTTCCTCAAGCATGTGGTGAAGTATTGGGGAATGCTGAAAACCATCATTAGTGACCGGGACACGCGGTTCACAGGCAGGTTCTGGACAGAGTTGTTCAAATTGATGAGGATCGAGCTTGAACTTTTCCACCGTAGTTCATCCACAAACCGATGGGAAAACTGAGCGAGTGAATGCTCTATTAGAGATCTATCTGAGGCACTACGTGAGAGCCAACCAACGAGACTGGCCAAAGATGTTGGATGTGGCCCAATTTTTCTACAACTTGCAACGGAGCGAGGCGACAAACCAAATTCCGTTCGAGATCGTGACCGGGCAACAACCGTTGACACCCAACACGTTGTTACCAAGTATGAAGGGCCCAATCCATCAGCACACAACGTTGCCAAGGAGTGGCACGAGCAACATGACTTAGCCCGAGCTTGTTTGCACAAGGCGGGAAAGCAGACCAAGAAGTGGGCTGACCGAAAGTGGAGGGACGTGAACTTTGAAGTTGGCGACCTTGTCCTTGCAAAGTTGGCCAATGTTTTGCGCCACGCGGATGTGCACAAGGGGCTTGTGCGAAGATACGAGGGTCCTTTCCGAGTCGTGAAGCGGGTAGGCAACATGGCCTACAAATTGGAGTTGCCTCCAACCATCCGAGCGTATCCCGTTATCCATATTAGCCTACTCAAGCCGTACCATCAGGATGCAGAGGATCCAGATCGAGGCAAGTCACACCGAGCGCCATCGGAGTAGCGGTCTCCTATGACAATGAGATCCAAGATATACAGGCGGAGAGAGTTATTAGACGACCAGGACACCGCCCAAGGCATGAGTACTTCGTTTAGTGGAAGGGACAACCCGAGTGAGAAGGAAGTTGGGAGCATGTCGAGGGACTTTGGCAATTCAAAAACCGAATAGACCAATTTCATGACAGACGAGTGACGAGGGCGTCACCGGAACGAGTAGGGGAGAATGTCATAGACCACGAGCCCACAACCGAGGTTAGCCCATGAAGAGCACCCAAGTGGTGTTTTGGACCTTCTAGAAAGCACAAAGACTTTGGTGGCATTTAAATTTGTATAGATAATGCCCACTTGTTTTTGGTAGGTAGGATTCAATCTAGACCGTCGATGTAATTAGATCTTAGCCGTTCATTGAGGGGAGCTTTAGCTATAAATAAAGGCATCCCCTCCTCATTTGTACTCACTCCTTCACTTTGAGAAATCATAAGAGCATTCTTCTCTCCAAGCTTTCTTATCTTTCTTTTTGTGCTAGTTCTCCTGTCTAGCTTCCGTCGAGATTCTAAGCATCCTTGCTTGGGATATTTTCAGGCTTACTTAGCCGCAATCACTAAGAAGACGACGAAGGCCGCACGTTCCGAGGCATCGAAGTTCCAAGGGCGTGACACTATCAACTGATCACTCCTTAGCCGACTGACACTCATCACAAACCCAAAGCCACAGTGGTTTCTGCAGTAGATCGGCGTTAACCTCCTCATCGACCACCACCTATAGTGATCGAGAAACTTAACTCTTCTCCAAATCAAACTTAGACTCTCTGATCTTCCTTCTTTACCATAAATTAGAGCCTAAAATGGCCTAAACAAAGCCCTAGCCTTTCAAAAGCTCTCGACGATCCACCTCCCTGACTCCGGTGGTGGAGAACTTTCCCCATTTTACTACCCGAAAACCTAGAGGACCAAAATGGTCCTTAACTCCTTTAAATCGATACCCCAAAATACTCAAACAAGGCCTCTGCTCCCTCTCATGTTCTCGAAGTTGAAGCCTCTAACGGTGTGTGAAAAAATCGAAGAGACCCCGACTGATGGATCTCCACCCTCAGGTAAACCGAGCCTAACCTTCTCCCCTTCTATATTATTTTCTTTACTTCGAAACCCACATGCACACACAAATAAAAAATGAAAACCAAAGGACTCGAACGAGAATACCTCTGAAAGGTTCTTTTTATTTTTTTTTTTCTATTGCTTTTCGAATCTAGGGCCCAGACCCCTTACAAACTGATTTTAGGGGTTTTAATTACCCATGTTTTACAAATGAAAATCCGAAATAATATTTTTTTTCGCATGTGACTTGCTGATATGGATTGTTGATGGGGCGGATTTGGGGCCATTGTGACTGTTGAGAGCTTTGCTGGAAGCCATCGTGGAGGAGCTTGGGATTGTTGTGGCTTCAGGAACACTTCGTGTTGCTCGAGAGAATCCACCAGCATGGATTTGGGACCACCAGTCTAATCCTCGTTGGTAGGGGGCCACTTGTGTCTGGCTCGACCAATGGACAAGACCGGGAAATCAGGGGGCTTTGGTGGCAGCTACTCATCTCTAGCTAGGGTTTCTTTAACAATTTGTGATGTGGGTTGTTGGGCTTCGATTTAATAATGGGCCAGGATGATGAGTTATGCGGGTTATATTGTAAATAGGCTTTGTAAATATTTGTATGGGACTGTATATTGGACTTGGTACATTTTAATTGGGTTGTGGGTTATTTGATTTGGTTTTAAGATTACTCGAACAACTATTTTTGAAATTTTGGTTTACGAATTTAAAGCTCAATAACCCTTTAATCAATTGAGAGCTGCTACAATCCGTTTTCGTGCAATTCAATTCAACTTGATACAGACTTGTTCCCCTGTAGCTCGAACTAATTTAAAATTTTCACGCGAACGATCTTCAACTTCGTCCTCGGTCACTTTCAATTGTCCAGGCAAAATTAGGGTATGACAAGATGCAATCTTAATAAACCCCTTCCAAACCTTGGTACTAGAGGAGCCTCCGACACGTCTTCAAGCTCTCTTTGCTCGGGACATCTCTGGCACACATATTATCATTTTAGTTCTGCTTAATTTGATGTTTTGACGTTCTCTTTCAATTAAAAAAAATAAAAATAGAGAAAATGATTATTTTGAAATAGTTGATTTATTTTAGGGGTAATTTGTACAAACCAATTGGAATTATTTTTTTAGGTATAACCACCTGTAACTGATCTATTGATCGACTAATTCAGATCGAGTATTGCAGAGGCAAAAGTGACCCTCCCAATCTAATTTGCTTCATTCGTAATCATCAGAATTGAACTCTAATCTTGCTTAAAGGATATAGTGTCTCATCTTATTATACCAATTAGTTGTTAGAGGATAGAACGAGATATTCCGGAATCAAGCCAAAATATTTATTGTAGGTAATATTCAATTATCCCTAGAAAAAATATTCTCAAACCAAACATAGGTACGTATTTTAAAAAAGATTATTCCCTTGATAATGATCATTTTCTTTGATCCAAATGCGTCTTATTTCATCCATTACCCATCTTAAAATCACCCTTATTTAAACTTAAATGTTAACGCCTCACGGGACATGCGTTGAATGGGTGAAGAACCACTTATAGTCACAGCATTGCCCGAACACAAATACAGGCACATTGCCCTAGCCCTTCCACTCATCACCATTTCAAGTCATAGCCCTACTGTCGAATTACCCACCACCCGAAACACCTTGTTTCCCCTTCACTCGAAACCTTACCCCAAACATTCACGTCCACCTCACCCTAAAGGATAATACGACTTAAATAGCTTAAGGGCATGTATGTTTTGAATGTAATTGGTTTTCTGGAAATTGAATTATAGAAATTGAATTTAAAAAATGAATTACTGAAATTTGAATTCTGGAAAATGAATTACATTTCTGAAAAATATTTTCCGTAAAATGAATTACATTTTCTGAAAAATATCTGGAAAACGTTTTACGATGTTTGGAAGATGTTTAAACATTTTTTCCACTAGTTGATGAATTTTTTAAAAATTATTTATTACAAATATTAAATACAATAAATAATATTTTTTATCATAAAACTTAATATTATTATTTTTAAAATATTAAAATAATTTATTTATTATTAAGTATTTTTTAAATAATTTTATTAATAAAAATATTAATATTGGTATATTTTATTGAAATAAATATATTATAAATTATATTAATTATTTATTAAAGTAATACTGTTATATTATATTTTAAAAATATTAATTAGTATATTTTAAATATCTTTATTAAATTATTATATTAATATTAAATATATAAATAATATTATTCATTATTAAATATATAAATAATTTATTATATATTATTAAAATAAAAATATAATATCTTATATTATTATAATATAATTGATTATTTTATTATAATATTAAAAATATAATATTATATTATTAGAAATATTAATAAATATATTTTAAATGTTTATTAATTAATATTTTGATTAAAATGATATTAAAATATTTATTAATATTAAATTCATAAAATTTTGAGTATTTATTCTTTGAAGTGAAAAGTTCAGAAAATGACTTACGTAAAATCAGACCGTAAGTCATTTTCCAGAAAACACAAAGGAAATTCTGTTGACCAGAAAAATGTTTTACGTTGACCAATCATTTTTTCTCCAACCAAATATTGGAAAACATTTTCCGGAAAACGAATTACGTAAAACAAACACGGGAAAACATTTTCTGGAAAAACGAATTACGTGAAACAAACACAAGATTTCGAGAAAAACCAATTACATAATTCATTTTACGGCAAACAAACAAACCTTAACTCAAAAAGTTGCAATATCTAAAAAGATAATTTTCTTACATACAGGGCAATATCTTAAAATTCTCAACAAATCTTTCATCTTTTATCTATAGTTTATGGTGATTATAAGATAATATATTTTAAGAATTATTCTTAATTTAACGACAAAGCAGACACACTCTATTGACACAACTATTCAAATTCAAATCATTTAAAAAATATTTTCTCTTATCACTGAAATTACTTAATCGATTATAAAAATATCTTTTCTCGAAACTCAAACAGAATGAATCTTTAATTTGTTCATGGACAAGTCCCATCACCAAACAAGTGCGTTGCATTTTTTAAGCTATCCCATCCCCCACGGACATTACTCGTCTTTGAATATTACGTTAAATAATTCAAAAAGCCTTAATTACGTGAAGCCAAATCAAGACTTTAGACCAAAAGAAAGCAGTTGGTAAAAGAATTTAGAGCGAATGAAGCTACCAACATCAAAATCAGTGGCAGTCATGAACGGCAAGCATGCCGGTAAGGTCCAAAGTAAATGAAAGCAAGTTGCCTCTGTACATTAGCAAAAAAATCATGCATAGAGCCACCACCATTCATCACATTTGCACCACTCGATTTAAATTTTTAAACTCGTACATCGAATTGATCTTGGACCTGCAGCTGGCGGCTTCAATTGACCATTCATCTCCCACTATTTTCCACACTTTCAACCTTCGGTCTTTGGTCTTCAAACGCATGCAAATAATTTCATTATTTTTTTATAATATTTACTTAATTATTTATATTGACCCAGGGGAGCAAAATGAGCTTTAGCTCGAGAGTCAAGACCTTCTTCCACCCTTACAAAATAATAAAATAATATGTCCGACAATATTATAACTTAATGATGTTCTCTTATTATTTTAGTTGTATTTAAAGAGTTTTTTTTAATAAAATAATAAAAATAATTTGTTTGAAAAAGTAAGGCTAAATAACGTGTTTAATACTTAAACTATCAATTTTTGTATATTTTAGTACTTAAACTTTTAATTTTTTACAAACCATATCTAACCTTTAGTTTTTTTTTGTTTTAGTACCTCGCCGTTAAAAACTTGACGGGTGATTTGCAAGCGGCACCTTTTTTATGGGTAAATTGCATCATTCAACACGCATCTATCTTCTCACTCATATTTTGTTCACTAAGTTTATTTTTTTAAATTTAATCATTTAACTTTCAAATTACTCCTAATTTAATCACTCTAACTTCCAAATTTTTTTATTTTTAATTATATATTAATAAAATAATAAAAAAATATCATGTCACAAAATTATTAATAAAATAAATTAGATTGATTAAAATAGGAGCAATTTGAAAGTTGAGTAGTTAAATTGAAATTTTTTAAACTTTAGTACCAAAATAGGAGTGAGAAGATAGTTAAGTGATAAATGATGTAATTTATCCATAAAAAATGCAGTTTGTTTTTAACGGCGAGGTGTTAAAATGAAAAAAAAAAACTAAATGTTAGGTGTGATTTAAAAAAATAAAAGTTTAGGTACTAAAATGGACCAAAATTAATAATTTAGGTATTAAATATGTAATTTATCTAAAATTTAATTATTCAAAATAAAGAAATATATTCTAGTTTTATATGAAATATATTTTTTTAATTTTCAATCGTGACCGAAAATGAATTAGATCTGTGCTGTTGTGGTGGTGGTGAGGGATTGTCCAAATATTGAAAAATCTCTTATATAAGGTATAGATAAAATTATTTCTTAACTAGTATAAATATTACAGTGTATATCGGAAGACATCCAGATGATATGGCTGTTTTGAGAAGACAATTGGACAACTTAACGACTTCTAAAGATAACAATTTTTACCGTATATGGCATGTAAAACCATTTCAAAGATTTTTTTTGTTTAGTTCGAGGATGATTATAAGAGAGTATACGTTCAAAATATTTTATAACCATTAACAACACACATCATACATATACAACAGTTTAAACTCAAAATCTCTAAAAATAATAAAATTAGCGATATATTGATGAGTTGAAAACCATTTTAAATTTTAAAAGAAATATATAGATTTGGAACTTATTTTACATGAGAAAGGCTGAGGCATACACTGAATTTATTACGGCGGATAGATTTGAAAACCAAACATTTAATATATATTAGTGTAAACATATGTATATGTGTTATCCTTTTCGTAGATTTCTTATACGATAAGTTCCACCACGTAAAAATAAAGAATGGGCCGGGAAAACACAGAGGACAGAGAAGGGATAAATTTGTTTAAAAGCCATATTTTGACAACATTTTTGCAACATAATTTTACGTTTTTTTTTAAATTTTAAAACTAAAATAAAATTGAATACGTTTTTTCTCTTTAAAATACATAAATAATTATTAAATTATATATAAAAATTAGACTAAAGTTTCAGAAATTCTAAAATGATCAGTATATTTATCAAACTATTACAATTTGATTATTATACATTATAAAATAGTGATAAATTTTAATAAATTTAAAGACCATCTTATAATATTTTGATAAATTTAAGTCTCATTTCTTAACATTTATTATTAAAATGCAACGATCATTTGTAATCGTTTAAAAGATCTAATAATTTTGATTTGGAAGAAAATTTGGTATCTCCAATACCCTCAACACGTACGTGTTTTCCTCTAGTTAGCTCTGCGGGATTGCCTAATGACCAATCAAAAATGTTTCCGCCGTGGCTTAGCTGAGACTCCAATTTACCCTCTTTACAATCACCATACTGAAACCACCTTACATGTTCTCCATGATTGCCACAAAGTCAGAGCTACTTGGGAACGTCAGATCCCACCCTCGCTTTTGTAAACTTTCTTCAGTGGCTCCATCACCGAATGGATCCAGGCTAACTTAGTCTGTCTTGATACTGTTGCACGCATGCCTTTTTCCTGGGGGTTCTATTTTCCCACTCTTTTATGGAAAATATGGAAGCATAGGAGCTGCTTCTTGTTCATCAGTTCGCGTTTAAATATTAATGGTGTTCTTCACTTGAGCCTAGCTTTGTCTCTACACACCACGACACTCACCAGCTTATTAACGTTCGCGATGCCCACCATACACAAGAAATAAGATGGAAACTTTCGTCTGATTACTGGTGCTGTCTCAATAGTGATGTTACGGTTGACATTATCACTAGTTTCGTCTCTGTTGGTGGGGTTATTCGATCAAGCGAGGGGATATGGTTGACTGGCTTCCATAAGTCGATTGGCATAGTGACCCCAATCCAAGTGGAACTCTGGGCCATCTATATTGGTTTACATGTTGCATGGTCTCATGGGTTTGAGCTTCTTCAGGTGCAGTCGGACAATTTTCAGATTATTCGTTTCCTCAGTGACAATAAGATGGATTGTGTTTCGCTCCCCCTCGTTCGAGCTATTCTCTCACTCTCTAGGCGCAGTTGGTAATTTGTATACGAAATTCCTTTGGACTCCTCGCGAAGAAAACATGGTAGCCGACAGTATGGACCACCTTATGTAAAGTCCTTTATCTGTAGCTAAGGCTTATTGCCTCTTCTCCATTCAAAAATAATAATTATTATTTTATAAATTTTTAAAATTTTATTTACCCATCATTTTTAGCTAAATTTAACTTTTTAATCTTTTGAAAAGAGTTATATTTAATCCTAAAAAACCAAATTACTAATTTTTTATAGAAATGTCGAGTAAAACATTAAATTTTGAACTCTATCAAAATAACACCCTACCTAGTAGTCCAAGTATACTTCAGGCTTAATAAAAAAAAAGTATACTTCAGACAAAAACTAATACATATTCAACTTTTGGAATTTTTATATTTTTTTATAATTTTAAATATATAAAATACTAAATAATTGTAACACCCCAATTTAGGGGCTAAATTTTTGAAATTATAAAGTGATGGATTTAATTGGTATTTTGGAAGAAAATTAAGGATTAAATAATAAATCGTAAAGTTGGCAGACTATTTTAAGACGTGCAGGAAGTTCAGTGGCTAAACTCATAGTTTACCCATTTTTCTTTTGGAATGAATTATAAACTCATTCTCGTATTTTCTGCGCATATTTCCCAATTTTCCTCTTCTCCTCAACCCTCCTTTCAACTCTGATCTACTCGGTGTTTAACCTCCAATCGACAAACCGAAACCACCATCGTGTTCGTTGTCGACCGAGGAATAAAACCCCTCAAACCTTTCGTCGTGAATCGTCGCCGTTCGTCGTTAATTTCAGTTGGAAGTATCGTCGGTAATAACTCGATTTCAGTTGGTTTTTCGTCGATTCACGACAATCTGACCATCCGTTTTCGACACCTCCTGCACCATCGTGTTCCTTGTGTCGTTCCGAGTCCACCGGTGTTCTCCATTTCTCTGTCGTCGCCGGCGCGTGGAGGGGTGAGACAGTCAAAGTTTCTGACGTTTCGGAATCGAGCTCTCCGTCGTTCAAAATTGTGAACCGAGCTTTGTAAGTGTCTCAAAATCGCTTAAAATAATTTTTAGGAATTTTTCGGGAATTTTCCTACACCGTAGCACTGTTCACGCGCAACACGCGCCACCCTCCGAGAGTGGCATCCTCTGGGTGTTAATTTAGTAATTAATTTCTGTTTATGTGCTATTTGTGTAAAATTTGGGTGTTATATTGATAAATATTTGCAGAATGTGGCTATTTGTGTAACATTTGGGTGTTAGATTGGTAAATATTTACAGAATGTGGCTAATTTGGTAATTAATTTATGTTAGGGTGATATTTGTGTAAAATAGTCGACTGTTGACTGTTGACCGGCATTGACCACAGTTAACTAGAACTTTGACCGGCTTTGACCGGGCATTAAACGACCTTTGACTTTGACCGAGTATACCTACCTTGACATTTTTCGACGTTCCAAATCCGATTCCGCAGTCCGTTTCTCGAAATTCGAATCCGGTAAGCTGTTTTTCATTGATTTATCATCCGATTCGATCTATTTTTCAAATTAAACTCCTTTTTTTATATAATTTCTGTTGATATGGATCCGAGGAAATATTGGGAGTTGAATTAAAGATCAAAGACGTTCAAATGGAATTTATATGGTCGATCAGTATGGCACAAAAATCGAGATAATATTTTACTACTTCTTTATGCTTTATAAAACATGTTGATATTGGTAAATGCATGAATGGAAATGTTTGGTCTCATAGGTGTAATTAATGAAGTTCTACACTCGATATGAATGTGATAAAAATTCTGTAACTGAATACGGATCGAATGACTATTATAAGAGATTGAGGAATTGTTAGAATTAAATTACAAGTTTGGGATTAGTGATAAAGAAATCAGTCATGGATTTGTAACTTATATTTTATATCATTAAAGGATAAATGTTAAAGGTACTTGGATGGGAAATTATGAGAATACTTCGATATGGTAAAATTACGAAAATACCCTTATGTTGTAGGATGACAAGAATTGTCCCTGTAAGTTGGTTAATAACTCTGAAAAGACATATTGATCCGATATAATTATAGATGTGCATAAGAAATGATAGTTTTGTTTAGAAAATTTGGATAACTGGTTTTTAACGCTAACAAGGGTTTGCGCAAGATGCTAGAAGTTTGTTAAGGAATAATTTCAAGATCAGAGAATGTCCGGGAAAACAATTGATCATAGGATCTTTAAATTATAATTATTTTCGTTAAGAGCTAATATCTAAATTATCTGGTTAAGAAATTACGAAAATGCCCTTGAGAGGTAAAATAGTCCGAGTTAACCCTGAATGAGAAAGTACTTTGAGGATTTGTACTTAACTCGATTAAGTACAAATTTGATTGTTAAGATCCCGACTTAGTGCAGAAAATTCTTGATATTTCGTTGGTAAAAATCTGAGAAGGCACTTAACCCGAAAATATCTGAGTTTCGAGTAAATACCTGAAGAATAATTTATCGGGGTGCTCTTTTATTAGAATTGTTCGAAGGGACTGAAATAGATGATAAATCAGAATTAAATAATAAGACAGGATAGAAGGAAATGATTGAAATACATCGGATCTATAGAATGACCATAATACCCCTGTAATGGAAATGACCCAAGAATATCACCAAGCTTAAGAATGATTGGATATCCTCGAGCTCTGAAATGAATGGAATAAAATTGAACACCAAAATGACCAAAATACCCTTATGTCCTATACTAAGTAAATGTCTTGGATTAATTAAGAAATCTAAATAAGCATAGGTGTTGGACTACCTTTAGAAGTTATGGAATAACTTAAGTGAGCCGATCAACTGTAATGATATATCAGTACCTGAACGACATAGGTATCATTTGAATGTGTGTTCGTCTTCTCAAGTGTGGTTCGATGATAATTTTGAAAGTACTCAGCTCAGCTCAACTCTAGATCGCATTCGGTAATAAGAAATAGATATTCGTTAGACAAATCAACCACGAAGACCAAATTGAATTGAACGAAAGTACAATATGTATCTGAAATTCAGAAACGTCTGGATTACCCTGGAAAACTCTGAAATAACCGGAATAAACTTGACTACTAAGTGAAATAAGTAACCTCAATGACTAAGGATTAAATAAGTGATTTGGATGATTCTGGAAATGTTAATGAACATACATGATGTAATGTTCTTATGGATCATGAATTACAAATCAAGCACGTCAGCTTTTCATGATATAGTGGAAGCGTGAACATGAAATAAAGACATTGGAAGATTTATTCAGCGATGATTCCGAAGATTATATATGGACTAGAATTTGAGGATTTAAGTGTAAATACCTTGTAAGGAAAATGAATGACCAATCGATAAACATTAATTCTGGGAAATATTCATCTGAAGTTGTTTGATAATGAAATCAATTGACATAGACTGTAAATGTCCTAAACCTTCATTTCTTCCTTATCAGCTCAAGTCTCATTATGAATAATTGATGATTCCATCAGTTATTGAACTCTTCCAATAGTGATTTTAAATTTCGATATTCTATCGGTATACCGAAGATCCATGTTTCTCTGTCTGCCAAGATTATCCAGTACCTCTAAATAATATTTGTAAACTCTGGTGTGTTCCCTACTCACATGAATATTTTATTTGATTTTTGATTTGAATTCTGATATGATACTTGACATGGATTCTGATCTGATATCTGACATGGATTCTGATATGATACTTGACTTGGATTCTGATCTGATACTTGACCTGGATTTTGATATGATACTTGACATGTGACATGAATTATGTTTTGATTTTTGATATATCCGTTTACGGACGGAACATGTTTTATTTGGGGGGTATTGTTTGAGGAAGAATACATGGAGGCTCCTCGGCTCTGTGCTCAGGGCATTACTTACCGGCTCCTCAGCTGTGTGCTCAGGGCCTTACTGGACTTGACGGTGGGTGTATGGTTCTGGGGAACCTACACATTTTGGACTTGACGGATGGGGGTATATATATGTGTTTTAAAAAGATCTGAAAAGTTACATGATTTTTGGGAACACACTAGAAAACCTATTCTGATCTCTTGAACCTAAACATCCCAAATATTTTCCATCAGAACTGAATATTATCTGTCAATATCTAAAATATCAATGGGACCTCAGCTCAGCCAAAGAAATCTGTAAATATCTGAACCAATAAGGAAAAATATGTTTATCTGTATCTGCACGTTCTTTAGCATCATTTGGTAGTTCTGTATTACTGAGCTTTTCGAAGCTCACTCTATTATTCACCATTGCAGGTTAAAAGAATTGTACCAGTGCAGTTATCGACTTCAGTAAAGGAATTCTTCCAGCGTTGTTGCAGAGTATGGTACATGTTATTAGGGGGCATGTAATTGAATTTTGTCTTATATAAGAGTCTGAAAATCTGTTTTATTTTTTAATATTGATAAATGATTTTATAAGTTTACATGTTCTGATAAAAAGTTTTAAATTTTCCGCTATTTTTATAGTGGGTCGCTCCGGTGGCCCTAATGACACTCCAGATCGGATCGGGTTATCCGTATCGGTCTGAGGGGGTTACAATAATACCACATTTGCATAAAGTTTATGTAGGCTACCAACATTATTTGTTACTTCAATAGCGTTAAAGAAAATCAAGTTGATTTTCTTTTTTTAAAAATATGATCAAATTTAAATAAAAATAAAAATTAATTTAACAAAAAATATAAATATAAAAATTAAATTTATTATTATTATTATTATTTTCAAATATAAATACAAATTTCATTTTAAATATTTACTTTCACATTATTAGTGATATTGTACAAATCTATATTATTAATCTCTATATTATACATTTTTTATCTTATTTAATATATTGTTATTTCTATAAAATTTGTTGAGGATGGTTACATCAATCTTTCATGTCAAATAGAATATATTAGGTTAAAATAGGATCTAATCATGTCAAACTATCAAGAATAAAAATATTATATGCAAAGGTGTA